CCAGCCCCTCCCAGAGCCATGCCCTGGCCCAGGGGAACCGTTTCCCATGGGAAGTCCTCCACAGGCACCGGGGACATTGTTGGAGCCTTGGAGCCCGGCTCTGATGCAGAGCCGATGTGGCAAGGCGGCAGAGAACCATGGTGAGCATCCCTACGTTCTGCTAGATGAGTCTGGCCCTCAGTTCCATCACCCTCTGATCTCAAATTTGTGGCTTCATCCTCAGAAACCAGTTCTGGGATGCCCCAGTTGGCGAGCTCAGTCCTTCCAGGCAGAAGGTGATGGGTCCCGAATGGATCCATCCCCTCAATGCCAGCCTGGTGCTGCGGGGGAGACCCCAACTCCTCCACCACCGTGTCAGGAGCTGGGGGCTGGCAGGGGGACAGCCCAGCCGGGGACACTCGGCCAGGACAGGTCTCCTCGGGAAGATGCGATACTTCACCGTCAGGGACCAGCAAGTCTTGGTCATCTTCATCCCACCCCACCAGAGCGCTGGGGTAACCGGCTCCCTCCAAGCCAGAAGCTGGATGTGTGCCCATCTCAGGAGATGACATCCCACCAACCTCCAGCACCGCCACCGCGCAACTGTCCACGAGCTCTGGGTCAACCAGTGGGTCAGGTTCACCCTCCAAAAAAGGGAGGGACCCTGCGCCTGCCGTGGCCACGGGGCGGGGGGAGGCCCCTCCATCCGAGTCCGTTGGGGTGATGGCCGAGGTGTCCCTTTCTGAGAAGGGCTCTGTCGCTGGCTCCAGCGTGCTCAGCACCTGCGAGCTGCAGGTGACATCAAAGTCCTCCAGATCCGACACGACGGCGGAGTCCGAAGCGCTGATATCCAAAGGGGCCCTATGCCGACACGCTTCGACCACCACCCCGGCCAGTTTGGCTGAATCTGGGTCCAGTCCTTCTGAGTCCATCGGGCAGACCTGAACCTCCAGGCAGCCGGGGATGGCCCCATCGCCCCCGTCCTCGTTCAGGCACTGCTCTTCCAGCTCCAGGAACATCTGCACTGAGTCCGTGTCGGACAACTCAGGACCCGCGGGGCTGGTCGAGCGCTCCGAACCCGGAGCAAAGTCCTCAGCCTCGCACTGCACCGCTGCATCCTCGGTACAGCACGCGCTGCCGGCGAGGGGGCTGTCGGCAGCCCCCGGGGATGCACAGGACCGGGGGGTCCCAGGGCTGGGGACAGAGCTGGCCGCCGGAGCGGCAAATTGTTCCCTTTCTTCAGAAATATCTGCCAAGCAACAGCTCTTCTTCTCCTCTGCCACCAGAACAGCCTTTCCTCCCTCTGACAGCGTCGCCTCCTCCCACTCCTCCATCATCACCCAGCGCTCGTCCTCCTCAAATCTCAGCTCAGACTCTGTTTTCTCCCTGAGATTGGAGGTGATGAGAATATCCAGTCCCGCATCCAGCAGCTCTTCGCTAAGGCACGGAGAGAGGTTGACGTTCTCCACTGTGCAGTCCGACTCGGAGGCCTCCAGGGTCTCCTGGTGCCCATCGCTGAGGCTTCCCTTGATGAAATTCTTCCTGGCTCGTGGCCAAGTAGCACTGGGGAGCCGGCAAGCCCTGGCCACGTCCCTGACACGACCACGGCCGTCACCGGCGTTCTGGTGCTCATCCCGGGGACCGCCGTAGCCATCTGCACCGAACTGCTTGGCCGTCAGAGCCTCTGCCACGCCGGATGACTTGGAGACGTGCTCCAAAGTGAGAGACTCGGACATGGGCTCGCCGTGGTCGGGCTGGCCCGGGCACGCGGTGAGCATGGCACTCGACTCCCGCTTATCCCGCAGGGAAGGGTTGGAGGCACCTGCTTCCGATACCTCGCTCAGCGAAGCCCCCATTCTTTCTGCAAATTCGGTGAAGTTCGGCGGCATGAAGGATTTCCACGACCGCCGGTTGACGTTCTCCTTCCTCTCGGGGTTCGGTCGTCTCCTTGGTGGAGCCGGTGCTGGCTTGGAGACGTCACTGCTGAGCTTCAGCGCGTCGAAGATGACCCGCTCGTCCAACTTCTTCGTTTCTGGTGCCCTGGACTCGAAGACGTTGGCAGCTCCCAGAGTCCCGTTACTGGATATGGTGCTGCCGTCCCCCTTGCCGAGGGTACTCTTGGAAAGCTGGTTGAGTTTCGATCCCTGATCGATTTGCTCGTTAATTCTCATCGTGTCGTATATCGACCTCTGGGGCACGTAGCAATCCTCTATATAACCATCCTCCTCCTCGCCCTTCCCCAGGCAAGTACGGTTCTGCCGTAAACAGTCTGGCCGGCTCAGTGGTTTGCCCATGCTCCCGTCCTTACGGGTGCCGAAACCGCCCCGGCAACCTTTCGCCCACCACCGCGGGAAGCATCACACAGCC